CCCCAAAACCCCAAAACCCCAAAACCCCAAAACCCCATATTTATGCCAAAATATAGAGACTCTGAAAATTATTAGAGATTAATTGCTCTGGTCAAATCTAGGTTTGACCGTTCTATTTTTGGAGTATCTCTTACTCCGCCTGATTTTGGGAATTAGTTTTGAAATGTTAATAGGTTTCGATTTCCGACTCTTTTTCTTACTACTAGCTCTGTGGATATCATTGGATAAGAACCCGGTGAGATTTCAATAATCTATCAGATTTCCGTGCTTTTTGGTAGATTTCCTTTTGCTTGAACTACAGAGATCAGTCATGAACTTACTCAGGCTTCTTTGGTTTGTCTAAATTATACATTTGCTCCTCAAGCTTAATTATCTCGTCATCGTCAGGTCAGAGCTGGTTGTAAACTCTATATTCTGTTTTGTCCCTGTTCAACCGGTTAGTCTTATTAAAGTGATCTTTGGAGAGAAACTCTAAGAATTCAGAAACAGACTTCCTCTTATCATTCTTTGATTCTATATCTCGAGAGTTTACACTTCTGTATTGGTTCGAAGTTTTTGTTTCTTTTGTGTTGAGTTTCAAAATTTCATCAAATTCATGATTCTTGATCATTTTTCTACCATCGATGTCTACGCTAGATTGATACTGGGAGTTCAAGATTCTATGTTGTAAATAAATTGGGTGAGCAGCGAAAAATCCTTCATTAATCCATTCATGTCACAAGGCTTCTTCAGGTGTCAGTCTGAGCTCAGGGTCCCAGTGGAGACAAGAGTCCAAAAATCTGATGAAATGCTTGTTTTTACAATCGAGTAGTTGTGTCAAGGATTTTGTGCATGGTTTCCTGATTCCTCCTCTGCTATTTTTAACAGGGAGAGGATCCAAATTGTCACTAAAGAAATATCCGCTTCTTGTAGATTCTTCCATAACATTTATTGGTGGAATTCCTTTATATTCCATAATCCTGGCAAGCTGATCATTCTCGCTCTCTCCAGGGAAGATAGGAAAGCCTATGAAAAGCTCTATGATAATGCAGGCAAAACTCCACATGTCAATTGAGTTGGTATAAGGAATCCCGAGGATGATCTCTGGAGCTCGGTAGAATCTACTTTGAATGTAAGTGTAGATTCTATCACTTTCAAATCAACTACTCCCAAAATCAATGATCTTGAGAACCTTATTTGTTTTATCTTTAAGCAAGATATTCTCTGGTTTCAAGTCACAGTGGATTACAGAGAGCCCCTTCATGTATTTCAGACCATGCAGGATTTGGATGGCGTAATTCCTCACAGTTTCTATTGGAAACCCTTCGAAGTTCATATCCTTAATCAGCTCATAAAGGTTAATGGATAGCAACTCCGTGGTAATGCAGATGTGGTTTCGAAACACGAAATGATCAATAATTTGGATAATATTCTTTTGGTCAGAAGGATCGTTATCACGCAATGCTTCCAGAACTTTTACCTCAACTTTTGCTTGATCATGAAACTTTTTCCTGTTTCTAATAATTTTCAGAGCTACTTTAGTATTAGTTTTATGGTCATAGCATTCGACTACTTGGCCGAAGCTACCTTGGCCGAGTAGTTTAATGCACTCGTAACGATAATCGATGTGGTCTTTGAAAATGATCTTGTAGTCTCCTTTTTCATCGTCATATCCAAAGTTATGGTCATTCATCACAGACCCTTTAACTTTCTCAGCCTTTGGACCTATAAAATAGATAGTCTTGTTCAACATCTCTGATTGCTCATAGTCGGTGAGAAGGTCATTAAACATCTGAAGAGCCTTTTTAGGAGTCATTGGGACGTTTGGATTCGGCTCTGCTGAAGAAGGTCCCTGAGGATTAGAAGTAACCTTTTTCACAGAAGCTGCTTCACTCTCAGTTTCCAAATTATCTTGAGACTCATCGTTTATTTCAATATGGGCCTTCTCAGTTTCGCTGCTATTGTCATTAGACTGGCTCCCAATATCTTCAACAATAATCTCAGATTGGTTATTTTGCTTTGCTTCTTTATGATCAGCCATAATTTGCTGTGTAATCTTCTTAAGGTCGCCTTTCTTTAAAGTGAATGCCTTTGGCTCCATATCTGCTTTCACTTCTATTTTGTTCTGCTAGAGGTTATCAATTACTAGTACCTTTTCATATGGAAAGTCTTTATACTTTCGAGCAGACCTTTCTCTTTTGGAAGAGCACACTATGGTATTATGGGTAAGAGAGCTACCTCTGTTGTTAAGATAACTTTTAGTTGATTTATCTCTGGTCTTTGATCCAACCTTCTACACGTATCAGCATGGACTTACCTTCTTTTTCTTGATTGTATTTGTGGTTAAATTAAATGTAGTTGTAATATTCGAGTTCCTTCTCTTATTTTAGATTCTTACTTAGTGAACTTTTGCCTGCCTTTGTAGATTTAGGAGACACTATGGGGTTGTCATTCAGCAAACTCTGAACTAAATAATTTGTGTCAATCTTCCCTGTGTAATCTGGTCTGAAGAGAGTTTTATTTTTAGATTCAGTTTTCTTCTTGCTCTTGCTAAGCTCAATTGCAAATCTCTTGATGAGACTTGAAGACTTGTTTTTAGTCACTTTGTTAGGGTTCAAATACTTCTTTAAGCTCTTCGATCTTCATGAGTCGTTCAGCGTAGTAATATAGTTACTTGCCATTCCTCTGTAATTAAGCTTGATACCTGGAGGCTTTTTAATTTTCTTCGAGTCATTCTTTTTCGATAATTTTCTAGCCTCTCTCAGTTGATTCTTGAATCCTTTTATTTTCACGGATTTATTCAACTCATCTATAGTGTAATCTTAGCTAATTTTGATGCAGAAATGTAAATAAAAGGTAAAGAGCTTACTTCCGTGAAGATTTATAGCTAACTGTTTTATCCGGTTGCGAACCCTTCCGCCAGAATTATCTTTGTTGCGAGAGTATTTCTCTGAACTAAAGCCCTTACTATCATGAGTGCTAGCCTTATTTAGAGAGAAACTTATTATTCTTGCCAACATCGATTCATAATGAGTGTTTGTTTGTTCTTAGGCCTGCTGTTGCTTTATTCATCAACATTGAAGCTTCAGAGTCAAAGTTATTTATATTCTTAACAGGGTCTCCTATCATCGTAGAGGTTAAGTTGCCATTCTCCCGCTTTTGGTATGATAACCTATTAGAAATGTTTGAGCTTAGCTATAGATTAATAGAGACTCTCACAATGCTAAAATTGGTATTCATATTATTGTGATATCCATTGTTTTGCTTCCTGTAACTAGGGCTAGCACCTGAGTCATTATTTCAGCTTATATTTAACCTATTCTTTAATTAAAGACCGAAATAGCCTGAAGGCTATATGGAGGGAATACACTTGTAGGATAATCCAAGAGGGGTCAAATTACCTTTTCAGAGTGATTGATAAAGAAATAATCAGATGGGATAGCTCAAGTCTTGTTCTTGATGTATTTTAAATTTTCCTTCTTAGTCTGTCTTTCCTTCTGTTTCCTATTATTACTTAGCCTCTTCATATTTAAAATATTTATATAATTTAAATCAATATCAGGTTGACTTCAGGGGTTTTGGGGTTTTGGGGTTTTGGGGTTTTGGGG